CCACCACCTTAGAGGACATGAAAGCAGAGGACATGCTGACCAGATCTTCATTGCATCCATGAAAAAGTAGAAAGTGAGATTCAACCTAAGCTCCAACTGCAGAGAATTTGTTGTTGTTGTTTTGTACGATCAAGTCAGTTCTGACACACAGTGACCTTTTGTAGGGTTTCCAAGAGCATTTGTTCGGTTTCAACTGCTGACCTTAGTTTTAAGTCCAGTGCTTATCTTACAGTGCCATCTCAGGGGTCCTGTAGAGAATTAGCAATGAATACAAGATACTTCAATCTTTTAAGTCAGGGGTGGGGAGTGTCCGGCCCATGAGCCGTAAAAGGCCCGTGAAATCATGTGGTCTGGCCCTGCCGAGGCAACTGCAGTTCTAGCCGATGCATTGTTATTCTTAAGTGTTATGGAGTTGGAACATTAGGGTGAGCTAATTTAATGTTTGTCCAAATATAGCTGGCTGGTTTTTAAATTGATCTTTTTTTTTTTTTTTGGTTCACAAATAATGTTATAAATTTTGGCAGAAATAAGATTTCCCACCCCTGTTTTACGTCCATGTTCTCAGTTCTAAGCTGCTCATTACAATCATCTGGGAAGTGTTTAAAAAATACTTCTGCCCAGGCCCTATACCTGGGTCTAGGCTGATATCTGGCTTTGACATTTTTTATTGTGCCATCCAGATTGAGAACCACTTTAAGGTAGCGCTGCTCAGGACTCGTAAATGTTAGTGTATTGGGTCTCAATGTAGGCTACACATTAGAATCAGCTAATGGGTGTGGCACTGTAGAAGAAGCCCCCCACTCCTGGCACCAACTTCTGAAAACCAAGTGGAACCATGTCTGACTGCCCCTGGCTTCAAAAGGGGTTAAGAGACTCAAATTCAAAATCAGCCCCAAGCCGATCTCAATGAAGCAGAGTTCAGACCTGCTTCCAACGTACAACCTTCTTTTCCCTACTCTGACACCAACCATCCCTCCTACTCGCTGCTTCACATCTGGGTTTGATAATCCATTGCAATGGCCACACAGAACTCATAACAATACTCATGATTATAGGGTCTACTAGGGAAATGAACAGGGTGCAATTCAGTATCAAAACCAATTCAAGATGCAGCAGTTCTCCAGTCAGGAATGCCTCTTGTCTGTTTTTCAAGCCAGTTTCCTGCCTGTAGGCACTCAGCTTTACTCATTCCGTAGCCTAGAGCTGGAAGCTGCTCTGCCCCTCAATGCCACCAACTCTGCTGTGACCTCTGCTGTCATCTCTTTCCATCGAATCTGTAGTCATTGTTTCTGTAGCTAAGGATCTCATGTGTTACTTACGCTCTTTCTTCAATGGTCCTGGGACCTTCCTTCTTGATGGTTGTGGAACTTCCTTCTTGATTATCCTGGGATCTTCCTTCATGAAGGTCCTGGAAGCTTCCTTCTTAACGGCCCTGAGATTTTCCATCTCTGCTTCCCAGTTAGCTCTTTTTTAGCCTAGACAGAGGGCAAAACTAACCAATCCCAGCCTTAGAGTCCTGTACACCTTATTTGCATGGTCCCACCCAATTGCTTGGTGGGAATTAAGAAGACACTGGATAGAAAAGTCATATCAAGTAAATTCTAGGCACCACAGGCTACCCCCTGGCTGTTCTAGCCATTGTCATTCATAAATGAAGGATTAACTTTTCCCCTTTCAGTTAAATATCTTCTACAATGACAGTTTTGAGAATCACAATTAATCCTGCTAACCATTAGTCACTATTGAAATCATAAAATCCTGTCAGCATCTCCCCGTACTGTCCCTTCACCAGACCTTCTGAAAAAGAGGAAACTATTCAGTGGGGATGCTCCCTTGTCCCCCTCATTCTGAGACTAAGTAAGCTTGTAACCCATCCATTTCATGCCTTTATAACTACCTCACTTTTGATAGCCAATGTACCGTATCAATCCAGTACATTAAGGGCATAAACATGTTCCTTGATCTGAAAAATCTTCCATTCTGGTTGGAATTTTGAGCAACTGCATCCATAAGCAAAAGTCCAGTTCATCAAAATGCAGCAGTTGACACTTGCTTACAGTATCAAACATCTTTATCTTCATCTGGTCAGGTTCTGCTCAGCTCAGCCCTAGCCATCCAAGTTAGGTCAAATGGGTACCAGCTGCTAGTTTGGGAGTTCACGCACCTCCCTATATTTACAATAGCTGGCCCCTTCACTCTCAGCCCTAGTCCCCAGGAACTAGGTGGGTGCCCATGGGCTCAGGAGTGAATACACTCCCTCATCTTTAGACCACCCAGGAACTAGGTGGGTGCCCATGGGCTCAGGAGTTCATACACTCCCTCATCTTTAGACCAGCCATCCAATACTCTTCTCTCTCTTTCATCTCAAGGTCTGTGGGTGCAAATGGAACATGTGTCTTCATTGCTGCATTTCCCCCATTCCACTCAACAAGTAGACCCAAGTGGTAACCAGTGAACATAGAAGGGGATTTTCTCTGATGAGCACAGATTTCTTGATTTGATATCTCCATGGCAAACAGCTTGCTTGAAACTCAAAAAAAGTCATAAACAGTCGACTGTTTTCTTCTATTTCCTGTAGTTCTCTTTCAATCATAAATCTCCAGTTCTCTCAGGAGTTCTGGGTGGCTCTTATTGTCTTTTCAAATGCAAATGTATCAAGTCTGAAGGATCTGGATGAGGCTCAGGATTCCACCTAAGGCCCCATTCTCTACAAAGGCTTGAAACAAAAAGCTTATTTCCAGGCAACTCTAACTCCTCTTTTAGCAAGTCCAATCAAGTGGCTGAAGGCAGGCTTACAAACTCTCTGTAATCATAACAATATTAATTTTTATCACACTTGTATATATATTTTTAAATAGTAGGTATGAGAAACCAATATCTATAAGGCAGTCAAACACATAGACCTTTAAAACACTCAAATCCAATCTTTTCTCCTCCACCTTTATCAATCTCATTCATCTGTATATGACCTTAGGCCTCTAGCAGAGTGGCTCCAGTAGGCCCCAGCCCCCTCTCAGCAGTTTAGTTTAACAAGCTTAACATCTGCTTTAAAGGAGCTCTGGTAGCATAGTGGTTATGAATCGGACTATGAACCACAAGGTCAGCAGTTCAAAACTACCAGCCGTTCCACGGGAGAAAGATGAGGCATTCTGTTCCCATAAAGATTTACAACCTTGGAAAGCCTGCACAGGGTCACTATGAGTCGGAACCGACTCCAGGGCACATAACAACAACATCTGCTTTAGGCACCTCCAGAAGCTGTTTTCCCCCCTCAGCTTAAGCATTCAGCTCTTATATTCTTTTCAGGCTTTACAGGTAACAAAATCCAAACTAACCATCTAAGAAATCAAAAGTTTCACTTCCCATGCCCCTTGGTTCTTTCCTGTACAAGATCTCAAGTTTCCATTAGTCTGTAGCCATTGCAATGAATACTGCTTCTAATGCCAACTAGACTTCTAACTCAAGATTGGCAGTTCAGTCCCACCAGCCACTCATTGGGAACCCTGTAAGGGTTGCTGTGAGTCAGAACCAATTCTATGGCACTTACCAACAACAAATACTCATTCTGGGTCCCATCCCCAGAGATTCTGACTTAATGGGTCTTGGGTATAACTTGGTTAGCGGGATTTCTAAAACCTCCTCAGGTGATACTAATGTGCATATAAAGAGCCACACTGAAAGCCTGTAGAGTTCAGAGTCTCACCTATAGAAATTTCCATCAGGAATTATGGAACAGAGTTAAGAAATATGTATTTTTAACAGACACCTGTGCATGTACTAGGGCTAGTTCTGACACCACACTTGAGAAGAATTGAGGTAGATTCTAAAATAGGAGTACACATTGAGTCCTTTTTCATTTATTTTTGATTCATACTAACCCTATGGGACAGAGTAACTGCCCTATACTGTTTCTAAGACTGTACATATTTACGGAATCAAACTGCTACCTCTTTCTCCAAGGAGCAGTTGGTGGATTCAAACCATTAGCACCCAAGCTCCTTAACCAGCAGGACTCCTGGCAATAAAAGTAGTACTTGGAAATCCCTTCTACAGCATCCTTTTTGGATGGTCCTTTCTCATTAAATGGCTAATTTCATGGTTACACGGGATGATTAAGCAACAACAATAAAACCCCCCAGCAAGCACATTTCTATTGAACTGATGTCTGTTTCAACCTAACTTCTCACCATTGCTGCTGTTCCTTTCCCTGAAGCTAGCCAAAGGAAGCATCCTTACACTTTTAGCTCTTCTCATCTTCCATATGACAAACGTTTCAATTAATGAAGAAAGTGATCAAAGTTCCCTTAGTCTTCTCTTTTCTGGGCTAGAGACACCTCAGTGACTTTAAAAGAATGACTGATTGACTACCTGGAGTGATTAACTTTGCAGTCTAGGAGCGGAGGTTCCTGGGACCATCAAGGGAGAAAAGTGGAGAACGGAACCCAACCCAGAGAAGCAGTGATGCCAGAGATGGAAGCAGAGACAATGATGTGGAGAGATGGAGCAGCTGGGGACTTTGGTCCGGGAGAGGCAGAGGGGCTCTGTGCTGATGACTCAGGGGCAGGCTTGTGGGATATACCCTTTGGTTGATGGATGATGCATGGAGGGGATTGTAACCATGGCAAGGAAATGATACATGATGGGATCAAGGTGAAGTTAATGTCCTCCCATGTAAACTATCACATAATTCACAATAAAACATTATAAAAAAATTGGAAAAAGCACAATTAAATGAATAACACCTGAAAAACTAAGGATCATTACTATTGATGATTATTGAATTGGAAATTCTGTAAATATTATTTATCTGTGAACTTTTCATTGATGGTAAACCCTTCCAAAGAGGCAGATAAATCAGATTTGTAAACATTTGAAGTAAGAAACCAAAGAAAGGGAAGGGCCAGTTGATACTTCGGTGAGAACTTTGCTGCCTCTTCACTGTCTCAGTGAGCTATGATTTAGTTGAATAACAACAGCCTCCCACTCTTTCCTTTTGTCAGGTGTGCCAAAGGGCCTGAATTACGATGTTGTCAAAGGGCTCATCTTAGCAGTCGATGGTGTGGTATCTGTGCACAGCCTGCATGTCTGGTCTCTAACAATGAACCAAGTGATTCTCTCAGCTCATGTTGCTACAGGTCAGTACATTTTGTAAACATCATGGACAAAATTCAGTTCTTGTCCTGCAAAGTCAGTAATTTTCCTCCTGTTGTTGAGCTGTCCTGAGTGACTGTTGCCTGCAAAGCCATTAGAAAGTGGTTTATACTCCCAACGTTATCTGATCATGTTGTCGTAGCAACAACAATGCAAGTGATCTCCCTTAAGATGAACTGCAGAGTGTAGAGGACAGAACCAAGGGAGAAACTCCTTCCAAACTCTGAAAATCAGATGTTGCCTGCTCAGCTTGGTGCTCCATAGTTGAAAGAAAAGCAATTATTATGTAACAGTGGTGGAGTCCTGGCATGGCAGTGTAGGATAAGCACTGGACTGCTTACAAGGTGGTTACAAGGTTGGCAGTTCAAACCTAGCCACCTGTTTTTGGAAACCCTATACAGGGTCGCTGTGAATTGGAACTGATTCAATAGCACTTTAACACCAACAATAAATGTTTCCAACAGTAATTCTTACTTGAGTATCTCCTGTATATTAGATGTTTTGCCTAGCTCTGATGATGACCATGACATAGGCCCCATCCTTAAAGTTCTAACATGATGACAGATTGCTAGTAGGAATTAATAGAAATCCCTTCATTGGATGGTTAGAAATTCTGTAATCATGTCAAGAAATGTTTAGAAGATTGACTTGATGCTGAATTCTACTTTTTTAAAAATTAGAGAATGATTTTGTTCATGGTATGCTATTGAATCCTGGTAGCGTAATGGTTACAAATCAGGCTGCTAACCTCAAGGTCAGCTGTTCGAAACTACCAGCTGTTCTGCGGGAGAAACATGAGGCTTTCTGCTCCCGTAAAGATTTGCAGCCTCGGAAACCCTGTGCAGGGTCACTATGAGTCAGAACTGACTCCACGGTACTTAACAACAACAACAACAACATGCTATTGAATTGGCCTCTGACTCACAGGGACCCATCACAGCAGAATGCGACGCTGTCCAGTCTTGTGTCGTCACCATGATCAGTTACAGATGAGACTGTTATGAGCCATTGGGTATTCATTCATTGATTTTTGGAAGTAGGTCCCCAGACCTTCCTTCCTAATCCATCTTTAGCATGGAAGCTCTGCAGAAGCCTGCTCAACATCATAGCAACAAGCATATATGATAGTCAGGGATGGGGATGGGGGTGGGGGTGGGGGGTAGCTGTGCATTAGGCATACTGGCCAAAAATCAAACCTGCACCTCTGGCATGGAAAGTGGGGATTCCACCACTGAACCAGCATGGCCCTGTGATATACCTGTATCACAGAGGGATGGGGAACAGAGGTGGGAGTCCTTTCATCGCTCCAGGAGAGAACTCAGCAAAGAATGAGAGGTTCGTTGTTAAGTGTCAACGAGTCGTCTTTGACTCAGAGACCCTCTAGAGAGTTTCTGAGGCTGTAAATTACTACAGGAGCAGAAAGTCTTGGAGTGACTGGTAGATTCAAACTGTTGACCTTTCATTTAGAAGGTCAGCTCATAATCCATAGTGGTTACAAATTGGGCTGCTAACTTCAGGGTCAGCAGTTCAAAACTACCACCTGTTCCATGGGAGAAAGATAAGGTTTTCTGCTCCCGTAAAGATTTACAGCTTCAGAAACCCTGTACAGGGTCACTGTGAGTTGGAACTGACTCCATTCCATGGCACATACAACAACAACCATGCCTTCTTAATAATGGTAGTAGTTGTTGCTCCTGTTAAGCACTGTCAAGTAGTTCTGACTCATAGTGACCCGGTATAGGGTTTCTGAGGAGTGACTATTGGGTTTGAACCTCTGACCTTGCAACTCAAACAACACTTCTGAGGTTAAAAGAGTAAACAAATAATTCCAGAAAACTACTAAGAGGCAAGTTCAAAACCATCAGTGACAGTTGAGGACTTGCTTTCTCAAACATTCCCATCTCCTCTCAGGAGCTCTTCTCTGGCTTCAGGGAATTATGGCATTACCTACCAGTATTTCACCACAAGAGAAGAGTCTAGTAAACAGTCAGGTACTACTGAGGGGACTTTTCAGCCTTCTGATACCACTTGGGACAGGAAAAAAGATGGCAGTGAGCGTTGCTGCTCTCAGAACGGTCTGTGGGGAACTTTAAATTCTTCCTGGTTCCTGTCACCAGCTTTAACATAAATTCTGATTAGATATAAGGTCTGCACCCCTGATCCATGGGGACTGGTTAGCAGGGCTGTGTGAGAAATTAAAGTTCTGACAGAACTTTTCTCAGGGCTTGCCTCTACTTCCAGATTCAGCTCTTTTGGAGGGCAAGATGCCAGAGAGAACTATGGGCCAAAGGACTCCTCGTAGTGAAAGGGCTCTTTGCTGGGAGACAACAGCTGAGTGCCAGAGCCATGCTAGTTCCTTAGGAGCAGTCTGTGAATCTGTAGCCCGCCCCACCAGGTCAAAGGCTGGAGTCTTAGCAGCTGCCCATGTGTGTGAAATCTGCTCATCTTGTTTGTGGTTCTTTATCAACAGCCGCCAGCCGGGACTGCCAGGTTGTTCAGAGAGAGATCTCCAAAGCCATCAGCAATAGTTTTACCGTGCACTCTCTCACCATTCAGATGGAATTGCCAGTTGACCAAGACCCAGAGTGTCTTTTCTGTGAAGATCCCCCAAACTAGCTCCGTCACACTGGTGAGCTGGTGGGCTGTTTGGCACACCACGACCTGCTACTATGCAGTTTCTGGGACAGAAGAAATAAGGAATCAAATGGAGAAATTTGAGAAACTCATCGCCCAGTACAATGTATGCCCTTCTTCTTTATTAAGCTGTATCCATCATGAATGAAGAGTCATTTAGATCCATCACTCCTTTTTGTTACATACTTATCAGTGGCTGTGTTCTATTACAGATTTGTGTGTGTAGATCATTCCTGCCTCGCACTAAAGTGACAGCTGCTTGCAGCCATGGGCAATGCTAAATCCACCTCTCTTCAATAATGCATGCTGAGATGGGGTTTAAAAAAAAAGTCAGAAAAGTCTTATCAGAAATCAATGGCAAGGAGAGGTAGACAAAGATACACCTGTGAGGACTGTAATCCACAGAAAAATTAAACATCTGAGACCAAAAGGGTAACATCTGCCCCCAAACAAAGCTCAGAAGGCAGGAAGGGGCAGGAAAGAAGGAGGGTGGGGGAGGGGGGTGGTGCTAGGAAGGAAGGGAGGAAAGTGCTGTTACACTGAGGAGATGGCAACCAGTGTAACAAAACAAAATGTGTGTAAAGTGTTTAATGGAAAATTGATTTGCTTTGTAAACTTTCATCCAAACCACATTTTAAAAAAGCAAAACAACAAGGACCTGAGAGAAACAAAAATAAATAAAGAGTCAAGTTAGGGCTAAAAGAGACTCTGGATGCCTAATGGTGGCAGTTTATGTGCTTGTTTCTCACCAAAAGGTTGGAGGTTCTAGCCCACCCAGAGGTGCCTCGTTAGAAAGGTCTGGAGATCTACTTCCCAAAACGGAGCCATTGAAAAGCCAACAGAAAACAATACCAGTGTAACACACATGGAGTCCGGATGACTCAGAGGGCAACTGGGGGTTAGGGGTTTGGGTTTTATTTCATCTTTATACCTTATTAGAACTTAACTGTCCACCTGAGATGTGATACTGTTTGGAGCAACGGCTTTTAAACTGCCTGTGTGTCAATATCTCCATTCATTTCATAGGGTTAGAAATGCCCCTCTTGTGTTCTGATGAGGAGAGTTAAGGCTACTCCTTCCACTGGTATTTAAATTCCTATTCCCTAAAACCTAAGATGGTCCCTGCCTTTGTTCTCTGGTGCTGCTATAACAGAAAACCCACGAATGGATGGCTTTGAGAAACAAATGGATTCCCTCACAGTTTAGGAGGCTAGAAATCTGGATTCAGAGCAATAGCTCTGGATAAAGGTCTTTGTCTTCTGTCAGCATCTGTAGGCCTGGTATTCCTTAAAGATCCTCAAATGTCTTGGCTTCAGTCTTTCCCTGGACCTAGGAGCTTCATGGTGCAGGGACCCCAGGTTAAGGAACACTCTTCACTCCCAGCTCTTCTTTCTTGTTGGTCCCTCTGAGCTCTGCTTGCTTGTTTCATCTCTTATACCTCAGAAGAGATTGACTCAAGACACAACGTAATTGTGCAGATTGCGTCTGTCTCATACCATCATGGAAATGAAGATTCACAATGCAGAGTATTTTTACAACAGATCACATCATGGAGATGATTATGTCATGTTAGACCTCAACATGGAGGTGATGACTACAGCTCAACTGACCAACCACTGAGAATCTTGGCCCAGTCAAGTCGACACAAAACCTTAACTGTAACATCTAATCGTGTCTGAATGTTGTTGTTGTTGTTATTAAGTGTTATCGAGTTGGTTCCTACTCATAGTGATATGGGTTACTGAGGATCAGCTGGTGGATTTAAACTGCCAACCTTGTGGTTCAAAGTCCAGTACTGATTCAACAGCGCCACACCAGAAGTTGAATCATTTCTGAATGGTGCCTTATAAAAGCAGAACGATAGAAAAATGTATACAGGAGGCCTGTTTATAAGCAAAGGAATGCTAAGTATTACCAGTAGACACCAAAAGCTAGGAGAGAGGAACATAGGAGGAAGTGGCACAACTGAGACCCTGATTTGGACTTTTAGCCTCCAGAAACAACAGAAAATAAACTCTGTTCTTTATGGTAACTCACTTATAGTCTTCATTTGCGTTGTTGTGGCAGAACAAGGTAAGTAAGACACCAAGTAATATGCAAGGACTATCATTTCAGAAATGCATGCAAAGATGAGTCTACATTCTTCAGAAGAATGGGATGAATACATTACTGAGTTTGGAAGTCAAAGACTAACATTGGTTCCTTGATAGGCCTATCATAGGTAGCATTCAATTTGTAACCTCTTTACATAAGTGTCTGACTAAGGAAAGAGAAATTAATTGAAATGATTGTAGGGTGGCATGTTGAAAGGTCTTACTCCAGAGGGTCTGAGTGATGCCAATGGGGATAGGGAATGAAAAGGAGGAGAGTGTAACATGGTGGAGAGAGGAACTGTGGGTAAAGGAATTAACATGGACAGGAATGAGCACAGTGCCCATCCTTCCAGCTCCATGACCTTCAGCCAGTACTCAATTTCTCTAAGCTGCAAATTCCTCATTGAAAAGGAATACTCTTCTTTTCATCAGGGTGTTTCTGTTACAATTAAATGGGATAATAAATGTGTGGCCAATAAATGTTGTCTCTAATTCAGGGTTTCTCAGCCTTAGTATCATTGATGACATTTTTGGTTTAAGGGGTTGTCCCTGCACTGGAGGATCTGGCCTTTATCCAATAGTGGCTAATAGCCATTCCTCATTTCTTCTTACCCCTAACTGCCAATTTTGACAATAAAAAATGCCTTCAGACACTGCCAAATGTTTGCCCCCTGCAGGGTAAAATCATGCCTGGTTGATAACCATTGTGGGCTGGAACTTGCAAACTGTAAGGGAAGAAGGAAATAATGGAGGCTGTGAAGACTTAGAGTTTGGGATGATTGCCTTTTTACAAACAACCTGCTTCTCCCATACCAGGTCCTGCCCAGGCTCTCTCTCTCCACCATGTTACACTGTCCTCCTTTTCATATCCTTATCCCCACTGGCATCACTCAAACTCTCTGGAGTAAGACCTTTCAACAGGCTACCCTGCTCACTTACTGTCCAGATTTCCATAAGGGGAACCTTGAATTATATATAGGGGTTCTTCAGACAGAAGAGGACATTCTAGACAAGGAGAAGAAGCTGTGCAAGGCCTGCTTATGCTATTAGGTTATTTGAAAAGCAAAACACAGGTGGCAGAGGAAACTTCCTACTGTGTGATTCACAAAATGCTACAGTTTTTGCTCCTTTCCAATGATTAATATTGTGGAGGACAGCAGTTCTGTTTGAGATGACTTCTACGTCACTGTCGACATCTAACATCCAATGTGGAGACCTAGCAGAATCCATCTTTGTGGAGGCAATGACTCTGGGATCTATTTGGGCATTGTCATTCATGATGTCTGTTTATATTTATGTGTTTCTGAAATTTTGAGGGCCAAGAAAACTGACTTTGACCAAGGAGGTCACATCTGTGCCATCTCTGCAAATCATCCAGCACTGCTGAAATGGCTGCTTAGCATTCTGCTAACGGCACCTCCAAATACACTTGTCTCCCACCTCAGTAAGCACGGTTTAGACCACCATGATTAGACATTCAGGTTCCTAATGTCTCCTGCCTCATCTGCCTCTCAAAACAGAAAGGCAGCTGCCTGCCCTAGCATCATTCCCATCTCAAGGGTGACTAAAGGCTTTTCTTTCCCATGCTTCATGTAGGCCAGAGCCCTTAAGGCCAGATAATTGGGCAAACACACAGGTTCTAGTGCTATTGTTTTGTGTGTGTGGTGGATATATATGTGACAACACATTAGCCATTTTAACATTTTTCTCACATGTACTATTCAGTAAAATTAATTAAACTCATCTGTTGTTTAACCATCATCATTATCTATTTCTAAATGTTTCATCACCTTTAACAGAAGCTGTGTTTCCTAAATAATGGGTTCCCTTCCCCCCCTTCCTCCCACTCAACTCTGGTAGCCACTAATTAACTTTGGTCTCTGTACAGTTGTTCTAGATATTTCATTATAGGGGATGGTATTTATCACATTCATCACTGGTTTTGTTCTGAATGCCCAAGGGGTGGAGTTCTATTTTAATTAAAGGAATTGCTCCATGGCCCCTTGTTTTCCCCCTTATTTCTCTGAAATCGACTTCTTCACAGTTTCATTTTTTTCAGAATTGAAACTTCGGGACAGTAAATATTTTTGTGTTAAGGTGCAATAAAATTTGTAGAAGCAGGACATTGCAGTGGGGATTTGGAAGACCTTAAGATGTAAGAACAGTGCCACCAAGGGATATTATCAGCCACTCATCAGTTCTAAAGACCTTGTTCTCCTTTTGCCCTCTTTCTTGGCATGGTTGGAACTCCATACCGTTGAAGGTGCTAGAATAGTATAGTAGAATTCTGTACTTGGCGGCATTGCATTCTCTTCTGTTATCAGAACCTTAATATTTCACGGCTTTCAAAGCAATAGCCTTATTCTTCTCAGTACTGATATCAGAGCAAATTTATTGTCTGCTCCATTCTTAATATGCAGAGCTGTACTGCAGTGCTCGGTAAAGATTTATCTAGGGCTCTGGTGGTGGTGGGGCTCATAAAAAGAAATATATGTGTTCCCTAGGTTTGCTTCCAGATGGGAAATGGGGATGTTAAAAGATAGGAAAGAATGTATGTTTATGCATTGAGCCAATGGCTCTGCAGTTAGGACATTGGGTTTTGAATCTTAGCTCTTCCCTTGATTAGCTCTGTGACCTTCAGCTCGTGGCTTAAATGCTGGATTCTTCTGTTTCTTGATCAATAAATCCTACCTGTTAAGGTTTATGAGAAATCAATAATTAAAAACCCTTAAAGGGTTTGGACCAGTGCCGAACAGGTAGTTGTTGTTGTTAAGTGTCGTCGAGTCCGATCTGACTCATAGTAACCCCATGTAGGGTATCCTGGGAGAGACTGGTGGGTTTGAAGTACCAACCTGGTGGTTAGCAGTCCAGTGTTTCTCCTATAGCACC